GTGATAGTTAATTAGTTACAAACATCGTTGTTGAGGTTCTCATACTTTCAATTCATTTACAAATTTAAACACTCCAGACTACCACCCCTAAATTACATATACAGATGACTATTGTAAAAACGAAATTAAAACATGCTTAACAACAATCTAACAAACTGTAAAACAAAACATAACTGAAAAATATAGTTACATGAAGAAACAAAATTGAACTAACGAAGAGTAAAGAGCAAGTAAAAAACATTTTTTCTCAAAAAAAAAAAGTACAAAACATTTTTAGAAGAGAGTACGTAGTTGTGAATCAATCTAATTGATCCGACTGGATTTTTTTAGTCTTGAATGCAAATACTCTTTTAGAAGATTCAAACGGAAATGGAAAAAGAAAAAATCCTACATTTAATCCGCAATTAACTAGTTACTATCCAAACCAATAACCTATTCCATCTTAATAAGATTTTCGTCTATCAATATATAGTACTATATTTCCATATCAATGGTAGTAACAGATTGTATTCCCCATATTTGTTATCACAAATATTCGACGCATTGAATGATATATCAACACCATATATCCTCGTATATTGTGACCGTCCTTATAAATACGAAGCCTAAACGCTCTCTCTTTTGCTATCAAACCAATCAAAGTGAAAAAAAAAAAAATGGCGTCTAGGTTTCTGATTTTGTGTGTCTCGTCTCTCTTCTTCTTCCTCGCCGTCTCAAGCGAAGAAAAAATCTTTGACGTTCGCAACTACGGCGCTCGCGCCGACGGACAAAAAGATAACGCGGTTGCGTTTTCGAAAACGTGGAAAGAAGCTTGTCTATGGAGTAGTGGAAGTGCTACGGTGTATATTCCTCCCGGAGTATTCTTTCTCGGACAAGTAAAGTTCTCTGGTCCTTGCAAAAATTCTCTAACTTTTATGATTAAAGGAACTTTATTGGCTCCTCGTAATCCTGACGTCATCAACCAAGATCAATGGATTATTTTCATGTACGTTGAGCATCTCACTGTTACTGGAGGAGGGTTGCTTGACGGTCAAGGATCTGATTCTTGGCGTCTTAATGATTGTCAGAAAAACCCTAATTGTCGTTCATTAGCTATGAATATTGGGTTTGATTTCGTTAAACATTCCAAGATTGACGGTTTAAGATCCGTTAACAGCAAGATGGGCCATTTCAACTTCTTCTCGGTCGAGGATTTTCACGTTACCGGAGTTACAATCACTGCTCCCGGAGATAGCCCTAATACCGACGGAATCAAGATCGGAAAATCCAAGGGTATGCGTATTTATCACGTCACTATCGGAACCGGTGACGATTGCATCGCAATTCTTGATGGAACAACCGATTTGGATATCTCAGATGTCAGGTAAATATTTTGATTCGCCTTAAATATAGCTTAAACTCAATTTTGAGTCCTTGCGGAATACTAGCTTAAGTTAGATCAAGTCAAAGCTTCGTAATAAAATTCACATTATAACGAGAAGGAATAAAAAACAAATCCATAAAAATATGCAAGTTACCTTACTGATAGGAGAAGAAAATATATATTCTCAATCTTTTCTTTATTAGTAATAAGTTTTAAATTTTTTGACGTATAATAATTAATCTCTTTAGGGTTTTATTATTTGCTTTGCTCTCCAATATTATGTGTTACTATGATTTTTGATATCTCTGACGTCTCTCAACACTAGGTGCGGACCAGGTCACGGGATTAGTGTCGGAAGCCTTGGGAAGTATAAAGGAGAGAAGGATGTTGAGGGCTTAACCGTAAGAAACTCGATTTTCAACGCTACAACAGAGGGTTTACGGATTAAGACATGGGCTAAGTCGGTTTCTCAGATCTCGGTTTCTAATTTCTTGTACGAGAATATCCAAATGATAAATGTCGAAAACCCTATCATCATTGATCAACAGTATTGTCCTCACGGACAATGCGATGGTTCGGGTGAGTATTCTTCTCATGTTCAGATCAAAAACGTGACATATAACAAGATTTGGGGAACTTCGAGAAGCAAAGAGGCATTGAAGATGCAATGTAGTAAAAGTTATCCTTGTCAAGATGTTGAGCTATCAAATATCAACTTAATTTACAAAGGACCTGATGGTTTAGTCACAGCTTTGTGTGAGAACGTTGGTGGTTCGGTTCGTGGCAAGATTGTTCCTGGAGATTGTTGGCTTTGATTTTTATTTACTAATAAGTAGTAATCTGTCATTTGATTTTTAGTTTTTTTTTTCGATGATATTATTATAGGACTGTTGTATTTCACTAGGCATCAAAATAACTCGTTAGTTTGGGATGTGTATGGGATTATTTGGTGTTGAATGGAACGATACAAAATGCATCATTCTATGAAATCATAAAAGGTTGGCGTAATATGGATCGATCTCAACTGATTTTCTTTTTCTTTTTAAATGTATATTTAGAACAAAAAATTAGGAACAAACTACTGTAATTATTCACCTATTAAAATATATAAAAATGAATCTATTTAAAA